CTATTAATAGCTTCTTTACAAAAAACCTTTCAAACCCAAATTTCTCTTGTGACAATTCGAAGTTCTTACGTTACCAGCGATACGACCCCAATGAGAAGTTCGTTTCGTTGGTGCCTGACTTCGTGGTGTAGCTTCTGAATATTCTACTAAACATAAATTATTTAAAATATTTTTTGTTTTCATTTTTGCACAATTTTTAAATATTTCATCTATTAACAAATCAACACGGAACTTTGCGAGCAAAAACAAAAAGAACGATGAAAGAGAGATATTCAAAGGAACTATCTAGGAATTGGAACTATGTGGAGGAAAGGAACTATAAAGAGAAAAGAAACTGTATGGAGTAAAGGAACTATATGGAACAAAGGAACTACATTAAGGATCTAGTTCCTTTTTATAAAAAGGAACGAGAAAGATCGATCCGCTACGTGAACTAGATTACCCAACTCTATATTTGTTCCCATTACTTTTTGTCTTATATACTACATTACACTTGTCTTCCTTTTTAATTTTTTTTTGATTTTGTTTTGCTGAACAGACTATTGACGGTATTCCTAGATTTTAGATAATTATAATAGACTAGCATATACCCACTACTTCGTTAGCAAATGTGGGAAGTATTTCAAACCCAATACCAACCATTATTAATACTTTTAGAACAATTTAGTACCTATGTTCTCGTATAATACTTTTTCTAAAACTACCTCCATATCTCAACCCTACACACCAATTCTGACTTCAAAAGAAATCTAGCTCTATACAAAATTTGATTTAATTTTTGTCCCTTGTACTCTTCTAAAATTTCCAAATTTTAAATATATCTTCACTCAAATCCGAATTAAAAACCAGTTAGTAAACATTAATATAAATTGCCACAACTACCCACTTTAACAATCATAAATACGAATTTCTAACACTTCTCACATACACCAATCTTAATTCCAAATTTCAGGATTCTATCGGTTCACCTAAATCCAATTTGTTTAAAATTTAGTACCATTTAATACACATAAGTACTTATTTCCATTACTAACTACACCATGCAATCCAATGGAATTCTTATTTCTCAATTTGAGGATTCCAGCTTTATCGGTTAACTTTTAATACAAACAGTACCAAATTTAGTGTCATTTAGTATACATTAGTAGACATTTCCAAAACTTTCTACATACCATAATCCAACACCCCAACAATGATCCTAACTTCACATGTCAAGATTCCAACTCTACAACAGTGATCCTAACTTCAACTTTGGTACCATTTTGTACACATTAATGCAAATTTCCAAAACTTCCAAACCCCAACAGTAACACTAACTCCAAATTTCAGAATTCCATCTGTATTGGTTCACCAAAATTTAATTTGTACCAAATTTAGTACACATTAGCCTCAACAGTGACTCTAACATCAAATTTCAAGATTCCAGCTCTATCGGTTCAAACATATCAAAATTTGGTAGCATTTAGTACACATTAGTACGAATTTCCAAAACTTTCTACAAAGATCAATACTACATCCCAACAAAGATCCTAACTCCAAATTTCAGGATCACAGCTCTATCAGTTCGCCCAAAATTCAAATTGTAACGAATTTAGTACAATTTAGTACTCATAAATATAATTTCTAAAACTACATCCATACCCTAATGCCATGTACATACGAGCGTTGTTTGCTCTCTCATTTGTTGTTCGACCCTTAATTATGAAGTAATTACATAGTTCCCCATATAAAATTTGCTGAGCGAACACCGACTTTTGTACATTGTTCAATTCGAATCACTCTGAGAATAACCAAGAAATTTGTCCCATCCCTAACAATTGAGAGTATTTATCGAAAATAAAATTATTTTGACAGCATGAAAATATTTATAAAATTTTCTAACTTTTGCAGTAAAATATAAAATGATGAATGAAAAGTAAAAAATTTTAAATTGTGTAAAAATTGTACCGAAATACGTCGACGTACGAATTTTCAAAGTTATGACAGAACGTAGTTTTGTTTTTTTCTTTCGTTGAAAATAGAAAAGAAATAAAAAGAAAATATGAAATTTTCAATAAGAATGTAAATATTTGAATACATTGTATAATTATTGAATTTTGTTTGGCGATTTTGTTTAGTTTGCTAAGAGATATCGATTCAACGTATTTGGGTAATACGACCGTACAAAACATTTTGCATAGTGGCAACATGGAAATGTCAAATAAAGCATTCCGTTCAATCTTGATGCCCCAGATGGTTTTAGTTATTATTGGAGAGATCTACGAACTGAATCACGATATTTCGGTGGCGTTCCTTAATGGTCTTAGGAGCTTTTTATAGCCACGGAATGCTTTATTTGACATTTCCATGTTGTCGGATGAATTCAATGGAGTACGTTCAAGTCTTGGAAGACAAAGTATTGCCATTTTGGGAAAACAGCAACAATGAAGGACTCGTTTTATAGCACCAGTTCATAAAAGTCGCCGACCAGAATCCGATCGAGAACATGTGTGGAATCTTGACTCATCGTGTCTATGCAGAAAACCGCCAATACCAAACTGTATTTATTTTTTTCCTCCAAGAAGTGATTATCGATGAATGGCGGCCAACGATGAAGACTTGCGAATAATTTTAATCAACAGTATGATGGATAAATTTGTGAACCTATTCAAAATAAGGGAGGCCCTACCCATTATTTATAAAAGTTATTTTATTTTATTTAAGTTTTAAAAATGAATTTTTCTAATTTTGTAAAAGTGCGTCTATAGTTATGCAACGCCAGTAATTTTGAAAGTTCAGAATTCGGCGAAACCATAAAGAACAAATTAATTATTTTTGTTGAATAATATGTGTTTTTGATCGTTTTATTGTGAACCATAACTTAATTGGTCCATTTTATTTGTCAACTAACATACCAATTGAATTAAAGGTGCGGCTATAGTTATGCTACGCAGTGTAGTACAGTATAGTACCCATAAGTATAAATTTCCAAAACTATATCCATACCCCAATCCTATACTCTAACAGTAACCTTATTTCCAAATTTCAAGGTTTACAGCTCAATTGGTTTACTTAAAAGTTAAATTGTACCAAATTTAGTACACATTACTACGAATTTCTTTCCACTTTCCACAAAGCCCAATACAACATCCAAAAGTGATTCGAACGTCAAATTTCAAAATTCCAGCTCCGTCGGTTCACCCAAACCCGCGTTTGGTACCATTTAGTACAAATTTCCAAAACTTCATGCATCGGTTCACCCAAAATTTAAATTTTATAAAACTTAGTTCTCATTAGTAAGAATTTCTAAATAGCTCAGCTCTATCGGTTCACCAAAATCTTGATACCAAATTTTGATACCATATATTACAAGGGATGATCCGTGTGACGAATTTTTATGTTTTCGACAGTCAAAAAGGTGTAAACGTCATATACCTGTATAATATGTAATAAATATAGTAAACTTCATTTATTTGAATATTATTTCCATATACAGTTATTTTCAAGAATATATATTATCTTTATATATTCTAAACTTTTTAGAGAAGAAAAATTTAATATTTTATATGGATTTGAGTAAACCACACGTAATTAATTGATTGATTAATGGAAATAGCTATTTTGTCAAAAACCTAATGGTTTTGGGTGGGTTTCCGACGTTTCTGACGTATGTATTATACGTCGGAAATGCATGTCATTTACGTCACAGTTTCTCACTGACCATCCATGTATATTACCAAACGAATTTTCAAAATACAATAACCCTCCAGCTTTATCGGTTCACCCAAATCCAAATTGTACCAATTATAGTACGATTTAGTACATTTCGTACACGTAAGTAAAATGTTTCTAAAACTACGTACATTCCCAAATCTAAATTTTCAGGATTCCAATTCTATTTGTACCTCCAAATTAAATTTGTACCGAATATAGTACCATATATTACTTTTCCTATACATAAGTACACATTACACACAATGCCAGCTCTTATATCGACCCTACTTTTCAACCTTAATTTGCATTCCAAATTTCAATTTTTTAGCTCAATCCATTTACTTGCTACTAAATTGTACCAATTGTACCAAATTCAGTACTTTTCGGAAACTTATAGTTCAAATTTCTAAAAACCCTTTGCTACATCTATTCTACACTCCATCAGTGACCCTCAATCCAAATTTCAGAATTCTAGCAAATACTAATGATACCATACTTAGTACTTGTCGTACCGTTCTAGTACGAATTTCTAAAAACCCAGCCTTATCTGTCACCTTTGGACCAAGAGTCACCCTCACCCAAAATTTGAAGATTCTAGCTTCAGCCGTTTCGTCTGGGTGTTGATGAATCGTTAAATCAGTCAGTCAATCACTTTACTCTTTTATTAGTATTCGAATTACGCAATATCTCAGATAGTCCAGGTATATAAGTAATTGTTTTGTATGATTTTTCCTCTTCTTTATTCATTTCGTTATTTTGCTTGGATGTTTTTAGTATTTCGTCAATAGTTCTCTGTGGAAAACATTTTTCCTCAGTAATGGAGAAGTTATTGGACGCTTCAATGGAGAAATTGGCAAATAAACCAACATTAGTTACGAAATACGCGACGAACTATTCCACCAAAAGACAAATGTATCCTTCCATTCAAAGGTATGCATTAGGGGGACAACTGAAAATATGGTCAAAATTGTTGGCGGTGCTAGAAGTTTGCCATGTCAGTATTGTCCCTCCTCCCCATTGAAAATAGAATTTAATCATGAACAAATTTGTGTTTCCTAATAAAACAACATGTTGTCGACTCAATACAAATGTTTTCAAAAGTTGAAATTGTTTGATAAACATGGTGATATAACCTGAATGTCGGTATTTTTGTACGGAGCACAATATAATAGGTACGAGACTTAAATAAAAAAAAAATAGACAAAATTGTCTATATAAGTTATAAGTTACTGAGTCGACCTACTGATGCTAATTATATGTATATATACATATATTCATAATATATTTTTATTTATGTTTTGTTTTAGAATATTGGTCTGTGGAGATGAAACCCAAAAACCATTCCCGTTACTTGTGTGGCATTTATCACAACGCAAATTGCTGTACGATTTGCGTATTCCTCACCACGATTTTATAACTTCTCTGTCGGCCATTACACATGAAGGTTCATATGTGTGTGTTGTGGCAAAGGAATTGAATGAACCCACGCCGAATTTTATTGTTGTATATGATTTACAAAGTGGAACGCTTTTTAAAAAATGGAAACCTACGTGTAATACCACATCATTGGCGATATCACAGACAAACGCTTGTGTTATTGCAGGACTCGAAGACGCAAAAATACTCATATGGGATCTGGTTACCGGCAATTGCAGATCTACGTTAATAGGACACAATGCTCCTGTTACCACTCTGAAATTGGATCCAATGTGCAAGGTTATTCTTTCAACAGACAAGGAAGGCCGAGATAATGCTCTACGCTTGTGGGAATTGCAAACAGGTACATTAATTGATTAAAATGTCAATATACATATATACGGACATGATGTGTTCACATTTTACACAAAAATATTTTGGCAAAATTAGTTTGTGATTTCACGACATTCGCCGGAACTACACATTATTTATCAGAGTCAGGTGTTCTGTCATATTATCAAAATACAATTATATATACCTAGCGGGCCCGGCAAACGTTGTCTTACATAGCCATATTGTTGATGTATAAGTCACATAACGATAGCCCAATATTAAGTTATCTTTTTCTACCCTCAACGATTTGAGATAGAGCTCTGCAATTTGCACATACATTGCTACTACTCCTAGGATATTTGGTACTGAAAATGTTCACTATTTAGGATAGTCCCCACATTTTGGATGATCATTGAGTAGAACATGTTCCTAACAAAATTTGTCGAAGCTTCCGAAAAGCCTCCATATAATGGCACTCCACATTATACGATCCTTTGGGGATTTGAACACTTTTTTCAACCTAATCAGCTGTAATTGGCTGTTTTATTTGGTTGCATGAATCCTACTAAAAATTGTTAATATTGGTCCACCCTTCTGTGTTTTGGCGGGTTTGATCACGTGTTTCAACCAAATTGGCTGTATTTTTTTATTTTTTTTTTTTATTTTAGATGATCAGCTAGTACAACATCTCTTTACAAAGAAATATCAATACAGGTCTCGCCCCATTTTCGGCATTATAAAGACATTGACCTAATTTTCTCATAGAGTTGGCTATAATTAGGCACAACGGACTCCTGTGAATAAAAAACGTCATCCCAGAAATTATGCACTATAGCTAAACGATTTAAAAATACGCCATAATCATTTCCCGTTTAATTTTCGGTGTCTTGAAGTTCTTACCTCCATTTTCCAACCTGAGTGTTATATGTAGTAACATCGGACGGAGGTTTTGGTATAATATTCAAATTAGTTATAATGTCTTGGCTATCTTTTCTTATATTACTGGTTTTTTAGTTGTTCTATTTCCAGCTGATGATAGATTTCAGTAAAGAAAATATCTCGTACATTAGTTTTTTTCTGTGATACACATTTTTGATATATGCGAGCTGTTCTATTTATAAGTTCAAAGATATTGAAAAACGATTAGCATATAACAACCTGATTTCATATTTCAGTGGCTTATAAACTTTTCTGGTACTTTAATGAACAACATGGTCCTATTATTATTATTATTTTCAAACAAATTAATCTAGGGCATGGATCTTATTTCAGAATGTCTTCTCATTTTCCATGCTTGCATTAGTCCCAAAATGTATGAACATTCCAAAATATCTCAAAATAACAACTACGACGTGGTGCAAACAAATTAGCTCGATACTAAATTCGTGAAAATGCAAATAGGCTGCACCTTTTAAACTTTCCCTTGACCTCCACGAACATTTCAAGACTAAGATCAGATAAATCCGTTCAGCCGCTCCCGAGTTTTAGCGAGACTAACTAACAGCAATTCATTTTTTTAACTAGTGGGCCCGGCAAACGTTGCCTTGCCTTGCCAATATTGTTAAAGAATAATTTTCGATATTTTATATTTATTTTCAGTTTCTATTGATACTTGCATAAACAATTTAAGATATATAAACCGGTTAAGATATATCCATTTTTATAGTTTTTCCCATATGCAATATTGATCGTTACATCGGAAGTTATAGCACACATTTCTCTGCAGTATAGAATTTCGAGTTTTAGTTGGGTTGGGTGTGAAACACGTTCCCTGACAATCACATAAAGTAACATTACTGTTCTGAGTATCTACTATTTGATGTTTATGACCGAGTCTTGCTGCAATAGAAAATTTGTAATTTGCAATTGTCGAACGTGAAACGTAGTTTTCCCTTCTAAAATTGCAATAGATATAATTTTTGTAATATTGAATAAATAGAAAATAAATTTAAATAAAGTCATATAATGTAGACATCAAGAGCCGAATTTTTCGTCATTCGGATTTAAATTCTTTCCAAATATGTTTATACGACTTCCATATAACGGTAGCCCAATTTCAAGTAAGCTTTTTATAACATTCACCATAATGTGAAGTGTATATTAAATTTGTCATTCTCTTGCAACACAGGAGACCTCAGGAAGTATATGTATACAACATTACTAATCAGAATATGAAAATAATGAAATCACGATACTGATCTCAATATTTAAGTTAGATGTTTGATTGGAAGTTTGGTAATGAAAATGGGATATTTTTGGGGTAGCCCCACATACAATGGTATTTTTGTGTAATATTCAACTTTTTTGGATAGTAATGCGCGTTTTCAACCGAATTGTCTGTAATTTGGTACATTGAGTTTCTCCCACATAGCTCCCATTATTCCGTATTTTGGCTTCTTTTTGGCTATTCGGCTATAATTCAGTATTTTGAATTTTTATATGATAGTAAATCTTATTGAACCAATGTTCAATTTGTAAGATATCTCCATCTAACGGTATCACCATTAGTGTTTGTGACTCTAGGCATATTTTTAACCAATTGTCTGTAATTAGATACTTTGAGTTCCCATTGGGTAACAAATCTCCTTACCAAATGTTATCGATATCGGTCTATCTTTTTAGGATAGCCTCACATAGTGGTGCCCCCAATTTCAAACGACTACTGGTTTAAACTTTGGTCCGGTCGAACTTGACTACGGTTTTACTTGCTATCCTTCACATTAGACATTATTATTTAAGTACAAAACATCTTAGGAATAGTAACAATATATGTGCGAAATTTCAAAGCTCTATATATTTTTTATATTGTTAGTTTATAGTTTGTTGTTCTCATTCGAGTTTAATAGTCTAATTTTGCAATAAAAGGAAAGTCAGAGATAAATTTCGATTTAAAATGTCTTCTTATATAAGTTTTCTCTGCGATACACATTTTGGTATCGGATATATGCGAGGTTTTGTGTTTATAATTTCAAAGCTATTGACCAAGTATTAGATACTTTAAGGGACAGCATGTTCCTATTGGGCATGGATCTTAGAATAAAAGTTCAATGAATGGACACAAACTCGATTCAAAATATCTTCTGATTATCCATCCTTTCATTTGTCCCAAAATGTTCGTGTATTCTATGGAAAACTTGTACATACAATGTCCATTAAATTTTTTGTATTCTCACATAAAATAGTTTCAGTACAATGCCAATCTAATTGAAAAAAGTAAATACAAATAAAAAATTTAAAATTTTCAATAATTGACAAATGAAGGCGTAAAGAAATAAAATGACAACTATGACATGGTGCGATCAAAATAGCTCGATAAAAAATTTGTTTAAATGGAATTATGCTTCATAATCGTTTTTTGCAAATTGTTCGCGGTTTTCGAATTTTTCTCACCTTTTAAACCTTCCCTGACTAAGATAAGAAAAATCCGTATAGCCGTTCTCGAGTTTTAGCGAGAATAACGAACAGCAAATTCATTTATATATTGCCAATTTTTTAATATTCCATTTTCAAAAAATCAGCTATTTTGTTTTTGTGGCACATCAATGATTTTTGGTACACATATAGAGAAAAATGTTCCGACTCCGAAAACGTTCGCGATCAAATTTTTGGTTGATGCGCGCAAAATTTATCGAGGTTTTAATTTTGGGCATTAAACTCCTTGTACATTAGAACTTTTTACCGCGTTAACCTACTTTATGCGATTTATTTGAAGTATATGCAAAGGAATTGACAATTGAAACCCACTGGGTTAACGAAATCCTCATAAAGTAGTTAACCCGGAAAAAATTCTAATGTATATGCCGTTTAAGAAAAGAATCTTAAAATTACGCCTCCGTAAAATAAGAATATGAATATATTTTAATAATCGCGATGAAGTTGCACATCTTCGCGAAATATGAGAAAAATAAAAAATATAGCAGATTACATAAATATTTTCATTATATTAATGGCATACACACACCTAAAAATTAATTTAAAAATATCTACATAATCTGAACACCATGATAAATCAAATGATATCAAAATCACACAAGTCCGTGAAGCGGTTTGTAAATCACAGCGATATCAAGACCCTTTCAATAAATCTTGGGGTTCTATAAATAGGAATAAATCTTAAAAAAATAATTTTATGAAATATACATTTTAAATCATGCGGAAGTACTGAAGTTTATCTTCCAATCCATGTATACTTTGCGAAATTTCATTTGATGGCTATGATGTACTACATGTTGCATTGAAGTACCCAAAAACTCGTAAAACGCGAATAATTTCCGAAAACATCATATGCCATTAACGCGCATCCGATTTCGGGGTGCACCTTAAAAAAATACATCGATATACACCTAAGTCTGTTTTTACACGGTCTTTTTGTACACGGTTTTGATATAACACGGTTTGAAAATTGAATATTTTTAATTTTTTTAGACGATTTTATTAGATTTAGCACGATTTCATAAATACTTTTTCTATCACAAAATAGTATTTATGAAAGAAAAAAGTCTGAAACCATCGATAGTTTGCAAACACAAGCTAAAAGATTTAAGTGAATTCCCCTTTAGCGCGTACAAACAATTTTTACTGGTCAAAGCAAATGTGAATAGCACTAATTTAGGGGAATTCTCTTTATGTATAAGATCAATGTCTATTTTACACTATTCTTTTACACGGCTTCTTCTGGAACCAATCTACCGTGTAAAAACAGACTTAGGTGTATACCGATTTCAATGTGGTCCATTAAGAACCATGGATGTGTCAGCTCACACTATTTTTGAGATAAATTGGGTACATCTCTCTTTCGGCTGACGTTTTTAAAGTTCTCTTTTCGAAAAAGATCAATATCCGTATGAGGTCATTTATTGAAGCGGAAATGATCCACAGAAAATACAATTACAAGTAAAATTAAAAAAAACCCTCAAAATCGAGCTTCAAAATGTCAGCATCATTTAAAGGTAGATGGAGTTAAAATTTTGAAAAATGATACATAAGGGGCGTAGTCCCCATTTTGTTGGCTTCTAGTCACGCACATGTTACATTCGTAACACACCATT